TAATTTAATGGAAAAAAAAAAACAATTCAGCTGTACCTTGCTCACGCTTGTACTGGTGTAATGAAACAACGGTTACAGGATAAACATAGTGGCATCCCTGAACAACAAAAAATGTGAACTGAAACAATCGCTACACGATTCAAATGCTGATAAATTCTGCTGATTATAGGAGGGGACGCTCGCCATTTATTATTTAGGGGCCTACTTTTTAGAGTGACGTTGTTTGCATTTAAATATGTACATGCTAATCACAATCACTGCTCCCTTGCGCTCGTTGTTGTTGTTGTTGTGGGGTTTAACGCCATTTTTCAGCACAGGAAAGGCTATACATGGCGGCCAGTATTATTGGTGGAGGAAGAAACCGGGAAATCACCGGAAAGAACCACCGACCCACGAGAAGCTACTGGCAAGCTCTCTCACATATCCACATTCGCCGAATCTTAGACTCGAACCCACGCAGATAGAGGTGAGATGGCAGTGATCCGTAACGGACAGCGCTTTAGACCACTCGGCCACTCGGGGCCCCTCCCCTTGCGCTCGACAAATCGGCCTGAATTACTGTAAAGTACGCTATCTGTAGCAGCTACTGAATTAGGGAAAATAAAATTTGCTAGACTAGAAATACCAGCTTCTGAAAGTGCAGTGAATGACTTCCCAAATATATAAAATGTAAAATGTTTTCGGCTCTTTTTTCCCCCCACAATTTACCTCTTAAGTCCAGGCAGGAGACCAAGTGGAGCAAGCCTTTTTTTTTTTTTTATTATATATATATATATATATATATATATATATATATATATATATATATATATATATATATATATATATATATATATATATATATATATATAAAGATACACATCTTGAGCAAGGCAAACCAACTTTCTCTAAAACCCAAAATATCCATCAATCATACTCCGAAAAAGGGGAATTAAAGTACCTTTGTATCACTGTATCACAGGGGCTTGTATCGATGCTGACAATTTACCAGTCATACATGTACTATACAATATATTGTATAGTACATATATGACCGGTAAATTATCAGCAACGATACTAGCTCATGTGCTTTGAATAATGACTAGATTATACCAGGCCTTTCTTTGAAAAAAATAGATTAAAAAGTATGATCAGCGAGGAAACCAGGGAAAATGCTTTTTCTTTAAAATTCTAACTCTATGCAAAATACAAAACTGTAGACGTGAGTAAGAAGTGCATTATTAGAGTAATTATACAAAGGTTGACATCATGACCTGCAGAGAAAAACATTGCTTTGTGGTAAATTTTGTGAGATCTCAATAAGCACACAAGTCAATTTCATAGAATTGTTCTCCTTCCTATTTGAAGTGCAGCGCGCGCGCACACACACACACACACACACACACACACACACACACACACACACACACACACAGAGTGTATTTGTCAAAATTTGTGCAGGTATTCCGATGTGAGAAAATTCTTTCCAGATATAAGGTACCTATTATAGTACTTGTATTATAGTTAAAAATTTGCCAACTTGAGTGACCAGGATTTTATTCGGCATTGTTTAACATTTTAAACTATTGTTTTTAGCATTGAAGAATTATTTATATCTTATATTTTAATGTCTTGCTGTTTGTTTTTTGTTTAAAAAAAAGGAAAATCGCTTCTTAATATTAAAAACGTATTATCACTTGTTTCAATTATTAGCTAAGCTGAACGTGAAGCCAGTTGTCCGTCAGGCATCGTTCATAGTCCATGATCGGTTGTGCATCACGTGTTCATCAATAATTGTTACCACTCTGGAGTCACCACCGCTCTGGTGGCCTCTTGGTTAGAGAGTCAGCCTCGGATGAGGGAGGTCGCAGGTTGGAACCCAGGCCGAGTCATACCAAAGGCTTATGAAAGTGGTACCAATAGCTGCCTCGCCAGGCGCTCAGTAAATAAGAAGTTAGTGGCCGGCCTGGTGTCAGAACAATGTGACTAGATGGGACATGATGCTACATGTCTGTGGCATGATGTCACATTGCTAGACATTACTGTAAACTGCCACACTGCAGACATTGTAGCGATATGACCGAAGAATTGTTAAAGCTACGTTAAAAATCTAAAACACACACACACACACCATTCTGGAGTCCATATTGCTGATTTCATTTCAATAAGACTTGTGTGTTTGTATCTTCAAGATATGGGATAAGTTGAATAATGAGCGAGATCCAAGCAGGTGATTGGCCATCCTAGCCACAACCATGAGGGGCATATTTCTAATCTGATAATGATGCAACTTTAATAATGTGTCTATGTAATTGAAACTTAAGACAAGTTAACTAGTGAGTGAGAGCCATATATATTGGGAAGGGGATCTTGCATCTGATTGGCTGATAACCACCATGTAAGCCGCAGATTTAATCAGATTTTGATAAAACTTGGAATGTAGGTTTATATCAGTCAGATCTTGGATCAGTTTGATAACGAGTTAGGTTGATCATACTAACAATCTTATATCGGATCAGATTGGCTTAACTTATTACCCACCTGAAAACTTTCAATTGCACTTTGTTCCACAGTTACAGGACTGTCTTCAAAGACAATCAAGTTACAGTAACCGTAGAATTATATCAGAGACACAGAATCCACTGGTTCTTTAGAAATACTACCATTCACCTTATCAATATGGACCAATACATTAAATTAATTTTTTAAAGCAACGATTATGTGTAAATCCGAATATTTTTTGTACTGTGGAGAGTAGGGATATGCAACACCGAGGTGTCTGTATGGGAAAGCAGATTCGTTGCTTTTTTTGTGTGTGTTAGCTTGGACGTGAACGAACAAAAGTCATTCACAGTCAGCAATAAAATGGATTTGAACCTACGTACACTTATGAATGTAAAGATTTATTAAACAGGTTCCAGCCATTATATAATCTGTGTATCGAGTGCAACTTCTTGACGTGTAAAATCTTTGATCTGTTATTAAATAACTCAACAAATACTGTGCAACTTTTTGACATGTGAAAGCTTGAACTGTCAATAAATACCTCTACAAATACTGTAACAAATATTATAAATAAATATAATGAAATGAGTACGAATCTTAGAGACTGTATCAGTCTACTTTTAGAAGGGACCGTTCCGATGGTCTAGTGGCTAGAGTGTCCGTCTCACGCGCGGGCGGTCACTGGTTCAAACTTCGACAGAGTCATACCAAAATATTATAAAAATGGTACTAGAAGTGGGTCGCTTGGCTCTCAGAATTGAGAGGTTAGTATTAGGACTGGTTGTGTCTGGTGTCAGAATAATGTGACTGGGTGGTACGTGATGCTACTATGTCTATGGTATGATGGCCCATTGTTAAACATCACTATTAACTGCCATACTGCTGACATCGTAGCGATATGACTTAAATTTTTTTAAAGCTACGTTAAATAATCTAAATCACACACACACACACACACACACACACACACACACACACACACACTTTTAGAAGGAACGCACATACAGGCTTGTGCGTGGTCAGATGTATCTGAAGTACATAATGAATATACATGTAGCAATTCAGCGCTTAACTTTGCTTCTATTGAACTATCTCTCTAATCTGATGGTTATGTGATTTGTTTAGGTGTTTTTTTTTTTTTCAGTAATGAAGTAAATGATCCATAAGCCAAGAAAGATAACTGTAAACAGTGCTACAACTATTAAACATAACTACTGCAAAAAAACAAAAAAAAAAAAAACAAACAACAACACAGAAAATATTAGTGCAATGAAAATGTCATTTTGTCATAAATGACCAATATCTGGTGGATACTAGACAAAAAAGAGACGCATTTAATAAAAACAAAGACTGGAAAAACAATAGAAAATGGCAAAATAAAGTAAACTTTTAATAAATAAATCGAAGAAAAGTTAATATGCAACTTATAATAAAGAAAGCAAAAATTCAGTCTCCCATGTGGCAGTATCTGAATGAACTGAATCAGTCAAAAGTAATTTAATTCCAAATTACCTGTTTTATAATGACAGCATTAATTAGTGCAAGATATAGCTGACATGTTTAGTTCTTTACAAGAATAGAAGATATATATTCTGGCTGTAACCTGGACTCGAACCAGAATTTTTTTTTAACCTAGAGTTCCTAGTGATCTACAATTGACCCTGGATATTGGGAGTACAAAATCAACATAAAAACGTTGTCATGTTATTCAGATGAGTGGGACCAAAGTCCTACAGTTAATTAGTTGTTATTGACAGCTTGTATCCTAAAGCACACGGTGATATTTAAACATTCAGATTGAAGACAGACCACCATTTATTGTGTTTCTTTGGGTTTTTTGTTTACTATATAGATGTGACACTTTTTATAGCTCTTTACATTTTATAAATATCTTAATAGTTTCATGAACAAGATTGCAGACATATGGCTAATTCAAAATCTTCTTTGTATGCAATGCATCTTTAATTTCAACGAATCCATTAAAAAAAACAATAATAAATCCCATGCATATTTTACAATTAATTCTTTTATAGGGTGCAGTGAGGAGGGGCAATATGCATAAAAAGCAACATATTTTGTTGCTTGGAATATTTCAAAAGAGACGAAAATTAGCCCGTTATAACGGGATTAACTTGATTTTAGAAATGGACTAATCCCGTAATGGGAAAGAAACAGGAATTCTCTACACAGTCAGACGACTATAAGACAGTCATGCAGAGGTTCATCTAGAAGTGTTTTTTTTTTTAAGATGGTAGTTTTTACATGAAAGCATATTGTGATAACGTAGTTTATATACTCTATGTGTTTGTGTGTGTGTATTTGTGTGTGTGATATGGGTTTTAAAGTAGCTTTAACAATTTTCAGTCATATCACTTTCGATGACTGCAGTGTGGCAGTTTATAATGGTGTATAATGTATTGCATTGGGGCAAGGCCGACCAGTCCTAACACAAAACCTCCGTAATGCTGAGCGCCTGGCGAGGCAGCTGTTGGTAACATTGTTATAAACGTTTGTTATGACTCAGCTGGGGTTCGAACCAGGATCCTCCCTCATCCGAGGCGGAAGCTCTAACCACTAAGCCATCGGAGCGGTCAGTGTCAGTTTTTATTATAATCTTGAATTAAAATTTTGACCTTGAGATATAAATGGTTCTTGTCCTAATTCAGATGCTAAATATAGCATACCATTTTGTGTGCCTGTTTTGAGTGTAAATTTAGTTGGTTTGACACATATGATCCTTGTTTTGATACATGTAATTGATATAGCAGGTTTTGACTACCCAAGTTTGTACACTAGTGTTGAATTTAATTTTGGCAATGATAAACAAATAGTCCTTTTGGTAAAGGTGGTTGGTATAGGAGATTTAAACTTCACAAAGCAAAAGTAGTCATATATGTTAGACATTTTTGGATTTATATGCATTTGACAAGTATTACAGCATGTGCTTTATTTATGTTGATGCCACATTTAACAAGTATTACAGCATTTGATTTATGTATGTTGAAAACTTCGTATGTAGAGCACAAGTAAGTTTACTTATAAAGTAAGTCAAATATGTTTGACAGGATATACTAAAAGTATTTTATTTCATATATGCAAAACTTGAAGAAAGATTATTAACATTGTACCACAAAGTTAGGATATGTAAAATTTATATCAGATGGAAGACATGGTTTTCATATATACAGTTTTACTATATATGAAGTTCATGTGTATATTAAACAAGTTCAACATATCTTGAACATGTGGCTTGTGTATGTTAAGGATATTTAACATATCCACATATCTGTCTTGAACATATGTGACTTGTGTATAATAAAGATCTTTTGTACTTCACATTATTTTGAACGTATGTTAAACATAACATGCAAGTGTTTCAGTATGCATTTAACGTAATAATTATGTCATTTCACATCTGAACATCTGTGAGACACACAACACCATTTTCACTGTATTGTGCATTGTGTTGAACATCTGAGCTCAGCACAATTTTCACTGTATAGTTTGTATGGTGAACATCCATCATTCACACTGAACGATTTTCTGTGTACTTTGCATTATAAACATGTCAGACGGGGCGCTGTTTTTACTTTGTATTTTACACTGTTTTGAACATGTGTCAGACATATACATGCAGCACTATATTCACTGTGTATTTTGCATTCTCATCACATAAATTTTGGATGAGCAAAGCTGCAAAGTAAGTTTTATTTAGGTCTCTGTCAAAATCTTTCAGAGCAAAAACATCCCACATAAATTCGAAATGAGCTAACAATTATGAATGATCGATGTCTTCATCTGTTATAGAATTCATGAGCTCATAAAAAATTCACCTAAGTCATGTCAAAACCAATAAATCATTGACAAATTACATAAATTCCTGGAAATTGTTAACGAGCTATAATTTGTTAGTTTTAATTATTGATTGCTGTCAGTCAACTGTAGTAGATAATGCCCAGCTGATAATTAACAATGATACGTTTTTATTACCGTTACAAGACAATGAGTGTGAGTGTGCGTGTGTCTGTGTGTGTGTGTGTGTATGTGTGTGTGTGTGTGTGTGTGTGTGTTGAATGCCATAGTTGATATATGACGGGAAAGTTGTTGTGAAGACATTAAAAATAACATGGCATTTGAAGTATTGGTATAAAGCAATTTGATATACCAGTACTATTGGTATATCAAATTGTGATCCTCCCATGGTGCAATAATACGCAGATATAAACATTCTAGCGACCGTCTGCAGTTGATTTTAGATCGATTATAAATTTCCACACAATAATCATTAGTGACGTACGAAAAGAACTACTAAAAGTATTAATAATCCTAGTTTTTTCGATGAATATAATATGATGCACATTTTCATCACAATCTTTCTGCTTTCTGTTCTTCCACCCCTCGCATGCATAACGGACAAACTACAATGCAATGTGGAGAAAGAAGAGGAATCTGGACGAGATTAAAACTTTGAAATAGAAATTACACCAAGTAACCTAGAAGAATATGGATCGTCGTAACGTGTGCCCTTTCTTGGGATTTATCAACAGTGTTTAGCAATGATACAAAGTTACAAACCATGGCGACATACAGTAAATTATTCGGTTACGTGGCGCACATACTGTGATGTATTTAATGTTATCTTGTTGTTTCTTAACCATACTATAATGTCCAAAAAAATCGATTATTAATACTCTCTATCGTAGAAAGATACGCGCTAAAATCTATGAAATGACGAACGTAAAGGATTTCCGTTTGTGTCATCCCACGATATCACTGGACTTATGAAAGATTGTAAAAGTGAGTTTATGGTCGGTGGTACTGTTACTAAAGCAAATATATGTATTTGTATGTGATATTAATGAAATATACAGTATGTACGCTGTACCAATGATATACCACTTGCGGTATAATTTTTTCATTAAAAGTTAACTCGGTAAGCCTTGCTTCTTTTCACTGAAAAAAATTATACAGCAAGTGGTATTTCCCAAAGTTACCATCAAATTCTACATATTGATTTACATTACAACCTACGTGTAATTCCAATGTTACAATCAAATACTACATACCGATTTGCATTACGGTCTATGTGTAATTCCAATGTTTCCATCTAATTCTACATATATTTTAACATAAAAATCTACATGTAATTCATGTACTACATGTACTTTAGTATTACAGTCTACATGTAATTCAGATGCAATCACTACAATCTACATGTATTTTAACATAACAATTAACATGTAATTGCAATGAAATCGCCAAAGTCTACATGTGCTTTAAAATTGCAATCTACATAAAAGTAAAATGTAACCACCAAAATTTGTATGTACTTTCGACCCTTAACAAGTGTACAAGTTAAACCACACTTGACATTTAGCTTACGTCAGTTATAAATAATTTAAGCCTACTTTACCTATATGTTGTTAGTTTAGAACATGTTGCTATGAAAAAACTCCTTTTTAAAATATTTTAAAGGTAACTGAGGTAAACCTGATACTAAAACGGGTACACCTTATGTATTATGACATTTGTCAGCAATTTATACGTCATTTTGACGTAGATAAAGATTCTCTTTCAGTGAGCTGTCGCATTTTTGAGATAGACCTTTTAGAAGTTAATTGATGGAGAATGTAACCATCTTTGCAATTTGTTAAAATCTGGTCAGGAAGTATTTCTGTTGGCGCAAGTCGCCAGTATTTTCATTTCTTAAGTTTTATTGCTGCATTGCAAAGACAAGATGAATACGCAAATATTTCGCAAGTAAAACACTGAAATCTTACATTCAAAATGAACATATTAAATGTCTCACCCAATTCCCACAAACTTTCACGCAAAGAATGATATTGGATTCAAGAAGATAATCTTACGACAACAAACGGTTTGTTAAAATATAGTTGGAGTAATGACCTAGAAATGTTCAAAATCTTGTGTCCAATTAGCAGTCTTCCAAATATTGTTGCCAATTATTAATCTTCCAAATTTTGTGGCCAATCAGTAGTCTTCTAGATTTTGTGGCCAATCAACAATCTTCTAAATCTTGTGGCCAATCAGCAATCTTCCAAATCTTGTGGCCAATCAGCAATCTTCCCTTTTGTAGCACTTATGTGTAGCGTTGTGTCCCTTGTTATGAAATATAATCGAAATTTAGTTGGTTGGAATTCTTTCAAAATGGAAGATATTTAATTTTTCTTTCAAAAAGTAATTTAAAACAAAAAATTTTTAAAACAATCTGCTGGCGTCTTTAGTTTGTCGTGACATTGTATTGATAACGATGGGCTGGTGCAAGCGTAACAATGTCTGACTTATTATTAACGATTAATTGACGTATACTTAGCAAAATAAATTCTTAGCATACATTCTACATATAATTTAAGACAGATAAATTAACTGTCACTATTTGTATCAAAGTAATGCCTGAAATTCCTATAATATATGGGTTCTATTACATTTAATGAGGTAATTCAAACAAATTAATATCAATTCGAGCAAATTCATATATAACACATGATTAATATAACATTCGAGACAAATGCATACTAATCATTAGATTCCAAACGCACGGAAAATTAATGGATGAATTTAAACAAATAAATTCAAACAATAATTGCAAACGTATTTCAGTGAACATATTGTATGCGATTTGAGACAATACTCTCGTGCCTTTTCGAGGCTCACTTTTACTATACAGCTGAAACTATCTTTCCGTGTCCCTTAACGTCGTCCAGACCTCGTCCCTTGAATAGTTCTAATGAGAAAAGTACTTTTTATTGATTTCGGAGCCAGATTTCCTTTCCGCCAAAAACTCGGACTGCCGAATTTCCCAAGGAAATTACGCAAACACTTTAATTTTATCTCGGAAAAACTCACCCTTGTTAGCTTAGTCAGTTGGGATTAACTTTCTCTAACCGCCAACATAGTTTAAATCATATAAAAATGATCTGGAAATACTTAAAAGTCATTAAAATTTGGGTATAATTTTTTTTTATCTCTTTAGGTGTTTAAATTATCAGTTATATGCCGAAAATGTGAAATCTGAAAATGTTCAATAAGAAGAGAAATGTTTTCTGTACCAAACATTAAAGGATAAGCATTCATTGATTTTCATTATTTATTGATGGTATATGAAATTCAGATGGTAACAAATTATATATATATATATATATATATATATATATATATATATATATATATATATATATATATATATATATATATATATATATATATATATATATATATATATATATAAAACACTAACTGGAAAATTTTATTGTGAATAAATTACAAAATAACGAGGTAAAATAATTCTTAGTTTTTAGCTTAAGAAAAAAAGTATTGCATAAAACTTGTTTAAGGTGTAGATACTGAGTGTAAATTTACATTATTATGCCATTCTGCTTTGTTTGCATTACTTGTGCATACAAAGGGGTCGTTCACATATAACGTCACGCAGTGATAGGGGATGGGGGTCAAAATTTTTTGACGAAGTGTGCCGAGAGTGGAGGGGTGTTAAAGAAATGTGACGTCACATTAAATACGCGTGTGGAACGCTTCTTTCAAAAAAATAATATCAGAACAAAAAAGATTTTGTGA